GGCTTTGCCCACACAACACTGAGGGTTTGTGCAGGTTGAAGCCCAGAGGAGAGGGGCCAGGAGGAGCTGAGTACCCCCTGGCATTTTGCTCCTCTTTTGGGCTTCATTGCCATGACTTAAGCACAACCTCTGGCCAAAGTGCGACACACCATTGAGCAGGAAATTCTTGAAAAATATGAACTTGTGTCAACTTGTGCAAACCAAGGCAGGACTGCTGCCCTCCACCTCGCCCATCCCCCACTGCGTTGATTTGTTCTCAGTTCTATAGCATAAACACTAAAAAATAACACATGTTCTTCCTGAGTAGCAGTGTTTTTAAAGATCCAACTATGTTGAACCATTAAAGGTAAACCTAATTTAAATTAATTAAAGCTGCACTAGACAAAATAACACAACAAATGATGAAATGCACGATAAATGACCAAATTCAATATCAATTGGACAAAGACTCTTTATATTTAACTGTACCATAAAACATCTCTATCTTATTTCACACCCTTTCATACCAGTAAACAGGGTAGTTGTTATAAAAGCATATCGACTTCTCACAGGTGTTAACTAAAATCATAGTAAACCTTTCCATGATTTTAGTGAATACCTGTGGGAACTTGATAGTGTTAATAAGTACAGTGCAGTAACACATTTATTTCTATATTTTTATGTTTTCTAAATTTCTTATACATTCGTAAACTTCAAATATTTCTATTGCACTAACTACTTGTCTAACCAGCTGAACTCAATTGAATATCGAGAAATTTTAGGGATTAATAAAGATAACAGTCTGCATATCTTGTATCTGCTGCTTCGCAGTGAATCTTTTACTTGATCCTATCCTTATTGTGTTTTTATTCATCTAGCTTACATTCTTTGGTGTCTGAGGCTCACTAATAGACTTACAAATACAAAGTGAATAGCCCTAATTGGCTTAAAACATAAGACAAAAAGTTAACTTGTTTTTATATTTTTTGCCAAAACAAATTATTAGTATTATTAACAAATACCAAAGGTGTCAAGTAACGAAGTACAAATACTTCGTTAATGTACTTAAGTGCACTTTTTAGGTATCCATACTTTACTCCATTGCTTATTTTTCTTCTCACTTCTGACTTCTACTCATTACATTTTCACACAAGTATCTGTACTTTCTATTCCTTACATTTTTAAAACAAACGTTACTCGTTACTCTTGTCTTCGGTTTAATGTTTAAAAGTATTTATTTTTTGGGTAATGTGCGCCATCCAATGCAGATTATTGGCGCCATCCACATCTAGTGAAAACTAGTGTCATTGGATGAATCATATAACGCAAACACTCATTGGTTAGCTAAAGGAAATCATCAGAAGCAAGCAGGTGTTCTTCAAACTGTAAACGTGAATTGTCTATTCCATGCTACAATGTCGGATTCAGAAAAAGATGTTGAAATGTCTGAAAGGTCGGACATAGGCGAGAGCATATCGGGAGATGGAGACGGAGACCAACAAGACCTCCCTCATCCTTGGAGCTATCTCAAAGAATTTTTCGAAATAGTCGAAAAATGTTGCTTTCAATTCATATAGTGGCATTCGGCTGTTTTTTTTAAAGGTTATGTTATACTTTTATACTTCAAGTATATTTTGAAGCACATACTTTTTAACTTTTACTTGAGTAAAGAGGTCAAGTTGATACTTCAACTTTTACCAGATTGTTTTTTAAACTGCAGTATCTTTACTTCTACTTAAGTAACAAATGTGTGTACTTTTGACACCACAAACAAATACAAAGGAAACCAGTTGTTACATGTAAATTAATAATATTTTATCTATTCTTCCTTATTGTAAAAGAATGGTAAGGAGTTCATCTGTTCTTGAAGCCCAGTTGTTTTTTTTTTTGTTTTTTTTTAGCAACCTGTGGAGCTAATTTACTTTTATGTTTTGTATATCTTCCTCTTTTTGTTTTTCTGCTTCTCTCTCCTTCAAAGCCCAGACAACCTCAGCCGATCACAATTAACCTGCTTCTGCTCGACGTTTCTTATTGTTAAAATGGAGTATTTCCTTTCCACTATTGCTGCAAGCATTCTTGGCGTGAGGGATTGCTGAAGAGTCAAAGACAACCAGCTCCACTCTAGGGGAGTGGCGGCCTAGTGGTTGGGGCATTGAGCCCCCAAGGTTATGGGTAAAATGCAGAGAGTGAATTTCATTGCTCTGTACTTGTGACAATAAATGACAATTTAAAAAAAAGGCTGGGAAAAAAGAAAAGGAGCGTGTCCTGCAAGTCAATGACTCGATGCAATGAAATGATTTTACTTGATCGAAAATTTTAACCAATGTGACTGGATAATCTGACTGAAACGGCTTTTAAGTGCCTTGAGATGACATGTGTTTTTAATTGGTACTTTATAAAGAAACTGAAATTATCATCATCAAATTGTCATAAAAAAACAAACATTTCTTTTTAAAAACGTCACACTATATTTTGAAAGAGCTTGATTAACTTTTCTTTCTGTTTTTGTATTTTCTGTAGCTAATTTGATAAATACTATTTTTGTGTGACTGAAACAAAATTGGGCCTGTGATGGACAGGCGACCTGTCCAGGGTTTACCCTGCCTCTCACTCATAGACAGCTGGAAACCAGCACCCCTTGCGACCCCCGCAGGGATAAGCGTGATTAAAAATGGATGGATGGATGGATGGATGGATATAACATAATTGAACTAAATTCAAATACCTTGAGGTAAAATAAAATTTAAAAATCTGATTGAAAAAATTTACTTTAATAACAGAATAATCAATCATCTTGGCAAAGATTTTCATTTTTTGCCCAACAAAATAGTTTTGTGTATGTTATTCTAAAAGGCTACTAGGTATCTCTGAACCGTTGTCTAGACACAAATCATAACACAAAACCAATGCAAAGAACACACAGAGATGACAGAAGAATTCTTGGGAAAATAAGGTGAAACTCCAACTCTTAGACACAAGAACCCTTTATGAAACACTTTAAGGGTTCAGTCTACATCACACTGTGTAAATACTCTGTAACAAACCTTGAACGGTTTTAGTGAGATGACATAATATGCATTTGTGAAAACCGCCCGTAGGAAATGAAAAGCAGCTAGTGTCTTATTCCAAGTGGGAGGTGTACTTTTAGTGAATATCACATATACTATATCTACACAGAGGAAAATGCTGATAACTAGGCAGCTTATATAATAATTGGTAGTTGTTTGGTACAGATACACACAAACACATGTAAATTATGCAGAGTCTAAAAAAAACTAACAACCAAAGTGCATTATTTTAATATTTCTGTATAGCATATTAAATGAAAACATATATATACTGTATATGAAAATTTTTCTGATGCAAAAAAAAGCCCTTCAAATACTTACTTGCTCATTTAGAATTGGTCCCTCCTTTTTTCTTTTTGCCACGAAAAATATATATCATCAAAATATAAATATATCATCCAAAGATATGTTAAAAGTAAGTGTTGGTTGGATTCATTTGAGCTTTACATCATTTTACAAAGGAAAATCTAAAGATTTACATGCATATGGCCGAAATCAATACTTTTAAGATCCATTTTTACAAGAGGAATCCTACTGCTAGGGTAGGGCACTGCCATTTTTACAATCCATAGTGGACGTTGGATAATTTAGCTGAAATTTTAAGTGTTTTTTTTATTATTTAAATTTACAAACCTAAAACAATTATAAGTGTAATAATTTTAATCTCATTTACATAAATGACTTCTGACTGTTGTTAGTAGAAATGATTGAATACTTCTATTTTTGATTGTCTATATTTTTTTACAATGAACTTTTTGCAGACATAAAGACGTTTACACACCATTTTAAAGTAAGGACAGTGGACTTAATACCTAACTCTAATTTAACTCTAATTGAAACCCTCAGTTTATCTCCTCCTATGAGGCCTAACCCCAGTCATTGCGTTATTGGATAAGAAACCTAAACCAAAGGTAAGTGGATGTATTCTGACTTCATTAATTCCTGTAGTACAGTACTCGTCTTTTATTGCATTACCAGCTTAATGTATGGAGGTTTCGGGGTATGTCTCTACCTGCTTTGCACATCTGGAGGCTGAGATTCTGTATTATTCGTATTGGCTAAAGATCTTACTTAGACCAGTAAACCTGAACTGCAAAGTGCAAGCAAAGATTTGAATTAAGGTTAAGGTTTGGTGCTGACTGGGGCATTCTAACATACCGGTATATAAAACATGGTTGTTGTCAAATAAGAAGGCAAACTTTCTCCAATATCCCAAATTAGTTGGGAGTCCACTCATCCATTATCTCATTCCTGCTCCTTCAGTACTTAAGAAAAGTATCTTAACAGCATAATGTGGCCACCAGCATGTTATAACATTGCCTTGATGTTCATGGTGATGTGCAGTACTACTTCTCCATATTCCATGTGGAACAAAATATTTAATTCAGGCCTCATCTAAAAAAGTACCATTTACCACATGTTTGTAGAAGAAGATTCTGTATAAGATTTGTGGCAAAACAAAAACATGAATTCTTGGGTGTGTTACGGCTTTACACTCACAATTATTTCACTACTTTTATATTTTTTTTGTGAAGTGCAAATCGGCCAGTTGTACTGTTGACAGTTTCCATGCAGAGCTTTGTATTTCTGCAGCTCTTTAAGAGTTAACAACAACCTCTTAGCTACTTTACAGTTTAACGTAATCCTCATCTGTCCCATGAATTCATGCTTGATCCACAGATGTTGATGGAATTGGTGAAAATTATCTTTAGATAAATCAGAGCAAACAAGGCTTTAATGAAATGTGGATCACAGTTGTATTTGTAAATAGAAAATTATAATTATCTTCCTTTTTACAAAGATGTGCCGGTTTTTGTTGGTCCATCACATTATATCTCTGTAATAAATCTAAATTCACAATTTCTACTTTGACATATGCAATGCTAGATACCAGGAATTCCATTAACACACATATCATTATAAAACAAAAATAATTGAATATTGACATCAGTGTACTCAATGCTTTGTATTTTTATTATCCTACAGCATACTGAAGATAGACCACAATGTCTATGAGGAAACTTAAATAACAGTACAAAAAACTGTCTACAACCTCACAAGTTTATATCATACCCAATGTGGTTATTGCCAGCAGGTAGTGAACACATCAGACAAATCACTTTACTGATCCAGACACCTCTTTGGTGTACTAGCTACTCGAAGCTCTGTTAAAAATATGGTGGAGAGAGACTTATGAATAAAACGTCCCTAGCTAGTAAAATAATGGATGCTCTGTGCATTAAATCTCTTATTTAAGGAAAAGGAACATTATTTGGTCCATTGTCAAACCATAACTAAAAAAATAGGTTGTTTAGGTAGTTTGGATCTTTTGGCTATTTGTCCAAAATTCATAGGAACCAAACAATAACGTCTGAACTTTAAAATTAAAGATGTAAAGTGAGTCAAAAGACAAACATAAAATGGATAACCAATGAGATTTACATCCTTTCCTTCTTTAACATCAACAAAACAAAAGCAAGAAACTAAAAAGAAACAGAAGGGGTTATAATTAAAATATATGAGTACTCTTTAAATCAATTCATCAGTGACACAGACTAAGTTCCTTTCTCACCATACACTTTTTACACTGGACAACACAACACCAATGAAAACGACACAAGCAGTTCTCCTCAAACACCACCGTCTCCTCTCTGTAGCCTCGCTCACAGCACAGCAAGTCACAGCCACTGATGTCCATGGCGGTGCTGTTGCAAATCCGCCCCCGCGTTCCCAGCGAGCCAGTTTTCCGATTTGCGAGGCAAAAGTCTGGAGACTCATCAGAGTATATCAGATCCTGCTTGTCCGGCGGCTTTATGTTCTGGCCGACAGGTATCAGGGTCTTCCCATCGTTGCCGCCCATCACCTTGGAAGCTCCATTGAAACGCTCCAGCAGGCGTTCACCAACTTCACGGAAATGAGGCATCTTTTTCCAGCATGTGCGCAAGGTGCAAGAGCCTGACAGTCCATGGCACTTGCATTCAGTCCTCATGTGAAGCTTCACAGCCTAGTGGGTAAAGATGGGAATAAAAGGTAAATGAGGGCATCAAGGTAAAAATAAAAAACAAACATTTAACTTGCACCTCAGAGGAAGGTAAGATTGGTTGATAAGTTCACTAAGGAATTTCAAATCTGTTATTGTGTTCTCAGATTATAGAAAATCCCACACCCCCACCAACACACCCCCAAATACACACACACACACGCACACACACCCATGACCACACCGACACACTAGCACACACAAACACTAACTGATAGATAGGTAAGATAAAAGCAGACGCTATTCCGAAGGAATTTCTCCCCAACCCCCTTTCCCATCACCATTGCCTCTGGCCTTCCTACATCTAACAAGCCTTGACAACAGATCATTCACTTATACTGCACATAATTAACCCATTACGCACACACACACACACACTCGTCTTTTTAGGTATATGCTCACACACTCACTGAACGGAGTGAAGGAGAATGCATGCATGCACACAAACAGAAATGTGAACACATCACAGCATGCTCAGTTCTTAGCCTCTGGGAATTAGCGCACCTTTTTTTTTTATGCTGAAAATGGTTTGTCACTAATGCTTTAATTGGACCACATCCCAAGAACTTTTGTCTCCTCGGTTCCTCTGTACCTTCCTTTGACCCTAGTTGAAATTAACTTAAGTGAATGTGGCTGTTGAGCAACTTTCTTTGCAAAAAGAACAGAACTCCATAAAAATTGCCAGAACCATAGGTAATTCATTGTGAAATAAGGTTCAATCTCCTTCGGTAACTGTGAAAATGTTAAAAGCTGTCTGCCTCGAAGGCTTAAAAGCAAAATATGTGGCACGTTCTTCTTCTTTTGTTTCAGACATCTCTTTCTTGTAAAAATATCAGATTACGGTACAGCTAAAATACAGCTACAGGCTGTCTTCCTCTCTTGAATGTACAAGGAATGAAGGACTGAATCCAAAGAACAGGGAACAGCTTTGAAATATGTGATCTGTGTTAAATATAGTAGTAGTTACACAATATGCTACACTACTAATCTAGTGCAAAGCAACACATTTTGGAAGGTCTTTCTTACCTGCCTCCCGGCCTCGTTGTTGTGAAGGTTAATGAGTGTCCTGATATCACTTTTCCCTCTCCTTTTTTTGGCATCCATGAACTTTTTGGACATTTCATAACCAAACTCTACATCATCACCACAACCTCCCCACTCCCATTTAACCCCATCCCCGGATGAAGTTGATGAAGGCGGCCTTGGGGGAGCTTTGTTTCTGGTCGCTTCACATCCACACTGCAGGAGCTCTCCCATGCTGCAGGCTTGGGTCACAGCATGTGTAACCCCTGCTGCTGTGATAGCGTAGACAAATGCCGTCTCCCGGATATCTGCAAAAGAGCCAACGAGAGAGCAGGTTAGCTCTATTTTGGTTATGTGGTAACAGGGAGCTTCTATTGTAAGGCTATACAGTTTAAGGAAACCTTAACAGCATGCACTTAACATAATGCAATAACTAGTAACAGTCTCCAGCTGTCAATGGGCGATAGGTGGGGTACACCCTGGACAGCTCGCCAGTCTATCGCACTGCAACACAGAGACAAACAGGACAAACAACCATTCACACACACGGAAAATTAAGAGAAGCCAATTAACCTAACAGTCTAGTTTTTGGACTGTGGGAGGAAGCCGGAGTAACTGGAGAGATCCCATGCATGCACAGGGAGAACATGCAAACTCCATGCAGAAAGGCCAGGATTTGAACCCGGAACCTTCTTGCTGCAAGGCACTAGAGCAACCCACTGTGCAACCCCCAATGTGAGATCAATAACTTTCCATTATTATTTATTTGCCCTCTACCTCGTCAAGAGGCAGCTTTCTAATCCAGTCATTCAATATCTGAATTAAATTGAACAGAATAAAAACACTGTCCTTATGTACTGGTTCAGTCTAGCATCACTGTATATGTGGTGCTGAGAGAGCAGCTGTTTCCTTGTAATACACACATATTCATACACGTACTTTTAGTAACATCACAACTGGTAGTTTATTTTTGGTTCAGAGCTTAACACTCCCTGCTAAAGGAATGTCCAACTACAACTGCAAATTGATCGTATGTCTGCCTCAGTGGCTTTACAATAATTTCCAGCCTAAGGTCAACACATCAATAGACACGTTTATTGCGGCTGTTATTTGCTTGACGACAAAATAGCAGCCATATTTATCTATACAGAAAGGTTCCATGGAGACACACACCAGTCTGCCTACAGAACGTTGGGTCATGACGATAGGATTTATCATGAACAGTCTCACATTAAAATTTGCAAAAAAAAAAAAAAAAAAAGATGCGATTTTATGTTATCAAAAATAATAATGACAATATTAATAACAACTAACAAAACACATAAAGCAATTCACTAACGGCTATAATTTTCTTTGAATGCAGGTCATTAGGAATACTAAAATAATTTATGGCTGGCTGTTTATTAATGTATAGAACATGACATATCTTATTTCAAGCGGGCTGATGTACACCTTCCTGGGCCCCCAGAGCATATGAAAAAGTAGTCATGCAGGCCATTATGCCATTACCAAGCCATTATGATACCAATGAGAGGTTGGACAAGCTCCAAGTGTCATAAAAGGCTCCCCACCTGATGTGGGGATAATGCCCCACTTTTACTTTTACCTCAACTAAAATAACCAAGACCTAAATCATCACCCCTTGTCCACTCTTCTGTCCAAACAAGTGTTAGCTAGTTAGTTTTTTTTTATATCTACAAAAGAACTAGGCACTGCTAGTATTATATGTAGAAGTTTATATGTAGCAAAGGTTTTGTTTTTGTGTCCAACTCAGAGTACCAATATTGACAGTAATAACCACAGGCAGAGGATGGTGCCACTCACAATCAGGTGAGTGGCACCGGTGCTGAAATGATTAATAATTAATCAGTTAACCTTGCTTAATCAATCATTAAATCTATTATAACCTAATGAATCAAATCTGATTGTATAGTGGAATAAGCAGACTCTAGAACACGGGTTGACATTTATAGTTTCCCAGGGCTGATATTATACAACCTACAGATTCATCTTTGGTCCAACACAGCTGAATCAAATGTCTGAATTGCCTCCTTAGTTTGCAGTCAATTGCTCCAGATGTCGTTTAATCATTTGATTTGATTTAGTGGGTTTCGAAAAAGCAAACATCTAAAATTTGCAGGATCCCATTCTCCAGGAGATGATATACCCCCACCTTTCTGTGAAATATGCTATTAATAGAAATAAAAACCAAATTAGAACAGTAGTTAAGCCAAAAAGGTGGGAAAAAAGCCCAATACATCGAAGATAAAAAATAAAAATAAAAAAAAATCTTCAGTTGGTGTAGTTTTAGCTTTAACTGATTCATATTCTAGGAAAAAAAAAATATTTTCCTAGAAGCACCTTCTGCAACCCAATTAATAATTGGTTTATAATATTTGGAAACCTATGATCCTGACTTTACACTATTCTCTGGCCGGCAAGCTTTGCTAGTAGGAATTTTGAATTCTACCAAAAGGGGACACATGTAATTATTATTATTCATATAAACAGTTTTATTTAACACACAAGGGCTTAAACTACTCTCAGGGCACATTTTGAATTTTTTATGTGTGCAGATTTATGTGTGCTAGCTCTCATGACTTGTTTTCTGGGGGGCTGTAGCTCTTCACCTACTTCTGTGTGGTACTCTGTCTGCTCCCTGGTTTCAACTTTTTACACTTTAAGGAACCACAACAGAGACTAACCCTACTTTTAAAGAAATCCCGCCAACATTAACAAAGAAACTTCAAACTAATCCAACAGTAGAATATGACTTTATATGCAACAATTATCTCTGTCATCAACTGACAACTTAATAAACACAATGTTTGAGACAAAAGAGAAAATGCTTAACAGTAGCTGCAAACTTATTAGAAAAGTAAATGTCTGTGTTCAGCTATAATCAAGTGTTTATTCAAGCTTCAATTTCCTCAATATAAACAGTAAATGTAACATTAGGTTAGCTCATACTATATTACAAATTTTAAATTGATCATGATTTTGTGCCTGTTAAAATAAGTTAACTTCACCAGTTTCTAGCTGGTTTACATAATACAAGTTATCCTGAAGATGCCTTGATAATGTTACTAGCCACAACATTTAAGAGCAGTAATGTCTGAAGAGCCAGGATTTTCTGAAATGTAGCCACACAGGTAATTAACTTGCATGTCACTTCCCTCAAAGTGACAGAAGCCTAAACAAGCACATAGATACAGATCCACACGTGAGGGTGAAAAGCAAGCCTTGAGCACAGAAAAAGAGCATGCACTCATGCTCATTGTATTAAAGTGAATCTACATGCATAAAATATTCAAAATATACATGGAGAGTAGTTTACGTGTGTTTTAAGTAAAACTGATAGTATGAGTATTTATTACTTCTGTGCCCTCTGGCAGCATTCTAAACACAGAGCCAGATTATCAAAAGCAGTTTTGTGACTAAATATCCAGCGTTATTTCCCTGTCTGCCTAATTTCAATCACTTTTTAACTTATGGATTTCCCTGTTCTGCTCAGCCCACATTAGATATTCTCTTGACTTCTAATTTCTGGATATTTATTCTGTTTCAAAAAGCTAGAAAGCTCTTAGCCTGAGTAAGATTAAGACAAAAATTCATCACTGAAACAACCCTGGTCAATGGTAGGGTTGTTTAGTCTAACTCTGGGTTTTTCCAACTTTTTTAGCTGAGATATACTACCAAAGTGTGTTGGAGATGCTGTGCCATTTTCTGGAAGAATCTGTTGAGGTCAGAGCAGAAACACCATGAAGATATCTCCATCAGGAAAGGGTGATTAGACAGGTATTTTATTGGTTCTGAACAAATGTTTCTTCATCAAATTTACAAAAATGAAGACCTCAGGTATTAACTTTTTGGCAAGCACTAAATTAGAGCCATATGGGAGCATTTTCAAGCATTTCTACTAAGTTTACAGCATCAAATATTGGTTGAAAGAACATTGCCAGCTGCATACTATTAATATGGGAACCATATCATTAATTCCATACGTTAAATACAGCCAACTGAAGATTTAGAGTTTTTGGTTTTAAGAGTTTCAAGATTACAACAAAAGGCTTAGACCTGAACCCTACCAGATTTAACTGGATGTTAGTACTTCCATCTCCATTTGCTGCCTGTTCCGTTGCACCTGGACCTACATTCAAAGCAAATAGAACATTCTCTCTGATGAAGCCGGAGTACCTGGAGAGAACCCATGCATGCACAGGGAGAACATGCAAACACCATGCACAAAGACCCCTGTCCAGGAATCGAACCCGGAACCCTCTTGCTTCAAAGCAGCAATGCTACCCACTGCCCCACTGTACAGCCCTATAACTGCATTAGAACATGTACCGCAAAAAAGATAAGGTTGGTCTGACTTGTAAACAACAAATACACAGTATTTCCTATACATCACATCCAACACAGATCTGGTAATAAAGTCACTACTCAAATATGCAATAAAAATCTTACAAACCTAAACACTGAAACAGTGCAATATAGACATTTAAACCAGTCGTCCAGACTAGTGGACTTTTAAGAATGCAAATACAGCATTAATGAAACAAAATCAACACAATTAAAAATGAACAGTTTAAACTGTCTAACCATTCTCAATGAAGAATAAAATCTCTACTAGATATTTGAATAAAGGTATGTTATTTTTCGCGAAATAACATATACCTTATTTGGCAAAAAATAAACCATTATAAGATTAACTGTAACCCACTGCTAATTCTTAGTATTTGATGCCACATTTTCCTACCCTAAGATGACAAAGTCATAAATTCATTTAGGAAAGCAACTTCACATTCAGGGGGTTTAATTTTGCAGACAGTTTAAATCCATCCAACCCCAGGAAAAGTTTTTGGAAGACATCAAAAGTATAGCGCAAAGTGGGAGAATATGCAGTCCCATGAGTAGCGAGCCGGCTTTTGCAGAACTGTTGCACCCTGTCAAAATCACTGTCGTTGGGACTACCTCTTGCTCTGTGTGTGATCCTGTAATGTCTGGACTCGTAGCAGATTCAGTCCTGCTGTGAGGTACAGTGCACATGCGCCGCACATGCATTTCAGAGCGCTACATTTTAAACAGTAAAGTTTATGCAGTATTTTTAGCTTTATGTACATACTGCTATTAAACATTTAAATAGTATAAGGAAATCTAAATAAAACTTACGCTTTCTCCAAAATTCATTTAAACATTTAAATAGCAAAAAAGGAATCTAAGTGAAATCTAAGCAAAATTCATGTATTACATTTAAAAAAGGTGTAATTTGACCTTATAAACTAGTTTTTAACTGAAGCTTAAA